CCCGACTGACACACACATCTTGGAAGTACTCAAAGTTAATGGCCACAACTGTTTTGTTGTTTCGAAAGCGACAGTTACTTTGAAAACAATTTGCTTGAAGTATTTACTGCACTACCCTATCCGAGTTACTTTATTATTTCAAAATTAGTTGAGAAGATGTTAAAGTGAGTGCAAGCAATTTTGTCACCTCGAACTAAATCTGTTATATCCGATCCACGAATCCTCCCTCACTTTCCATTTTGAGCTGAAGTCCTATCAGAGGTTACTCATCGCTTTTTTGCTTGTGGCAAGAGCAGCAAATTGTAGATTGGAGTTGACTAGTCGACCGACAGATCGATCGATCGACCGGCGGTCCGACCGACTGATTTTGGAACAAGAGGGAATGGACAAATGCAACGCCTTTTTTTGCCGCTGAAAAATTTTTACGAAATATTTTTTTTTGGTGGCACTTATTAGATTCGCGTTTTTAGTGGTTTTTGGGGGAGACAGAGCGTCAGCATTAATTAATTAGGTGTAATCGAATTAGCGGTTGCTCGCTTTTAATTAATGCCTAAATGTCTAACAGCCTGGACAGGTTGAACAGGCTAATCTTCCCACTCCTGCTTGCATTTAATTATCAGGGGCATCTCCTTCAGGGAGTTGAAAGACTCACGCACCCACACCCACACACACACACTGAGAGAGTGTGTGAAAAATAATTTAACTTTGAGTTTGTGAAGGCGGCCTAGGCGAGAAGACTACACATAGGCAAGTCCGGTAAACAATGCCGATAGGGAGTGGAGAGAGAAAGGAGGCCACTTGATGACCATTTCTTCAAAGAGAAGTTCCGACACTAGTCATTATTGTAATACCCTCAATAATAATTATGATAATGATAATTAAAACACTTGATTGGTCGTAAACCGGTGGCAGAGAACGAGAGTGAGGAAGGTGAGTAGGTGGTTTGGTGATAAAATTTTAATGCCACCTCTCTCCCTCTTTCAATGGCCCTCACCAATAACTTCCACTTATTCATGATTCGTTAGTAGTCCAACTACAATGCAACCAAGCAGACTTTCAGTTATTGAAAAAACTGGCAAAAATTGTTCATCCTTCCACATTTCAAATAATCACTTTGTTCATATTCCACAGGTGGAAACTTTCTACGCTACCTCTGCTCTCTCTTTTCAAACAGTGCTAACAATAGCGGAAGCAGTGGTAGTATTCTCTGCAATGAGAAGATTCCCATTCCTTTGCCACAGTACCCCCTCCCAGTGCTTTCTCGCTCGGATTTACCTATATCCCTCTTCCCTCCTCCTCCTCCTCCCTTACTACCACCACAACCACCAGTGCCACCTCCACAACCGTCACAACCACCGAAGGTCATCAAAGATGAGGAAGAGGTCTCTAGGACTTGTTCAGACAGCGGACTGTGCTGCAGTAGTGATAGCAGTAGTAGTGGTGCCAATAGCAGTTCCCTTGACTCGCGATACCAATTGGCAAAGCGATTTCTGGACTCCCTCCTCCTTCAGAAGGCAGCTTTTCAGCAGATTCAGAAGCGGGACGTCGAGTAGTTCACAGCGCACTACTAAAACGGTCTCTAATCTGCGTCCACACACAAGCACACAGTGCAATACATTCCTCTTTATAATACACGTAACATACTACTCATAACGCTACTGATTTGCAGGGAATCTAGAGGGTTAACCACGCACTGCTTTCAGCTGACAACTGTAGAGGCTTGATTCATCTAACGTTGCTTCGGGAGGAACTACTCTCAGCAGCTAATTTGGAGCTGAAGATTTCAACTTCTCAAATTTGTTTTAGGGTTAATAATGTATATACTACTCACAACTGACCTCAACTAATGCTCTTAATTGCGGAAGCTTATTTGCTTATTAGGCGTTGCAAGCCGTCCAGACAATCATTCCATATCAACGCTGGGGACGTCTATTCTTCATCAAAGAGAAAGGATTTGCAAGCCCTTTCTGCTGATTGCATAATTACCCCTAGATTTGTCGTGTACTTCCACCTCAAGGGATGTGGAATGAAGAGTCATCACGTTTCACATGGTCAACTTGTTG